GGGGATGTTGGTGGATACCACGCATAAATGTATGGGATGTCGATTAGTTGTACCCAGGGGTGTGTAGGTGTAGCGAAGAAGATAGTACGCGTTCAGACAAGCCCGGGGAGCGGTGTTTTGTCTTACAGCGCCCGCGATTCGTTGCGGTGCACGTATCCGAATTTTTCTCCCGTCTTCCTTGCGAAGAATCTTTACTTTAGTGCCACCTTAGAATGTTGTTCCCCGTCACTCATCTTCATTCTCGCTAAAAAGCCAACGTTGGATGGTGTCCCTTCCCAATTATTAATTATTCAAAGGGTGCCGTAAAAGCGCCCGGTGTTGGATTGTGATATTCAAAGCAGTGGTCCAAATCGCCTGCCGGTGACCGGGCCTCCCAGGCTCAGACTGAGCGCAAATAAACGAAGAAACAAAAAGATTGCCGTCGACCAGGATCGAACTAGTGACCTGCAGATTGCAGCCACGGGCTACCCCGCGCTTCAGTCTGTCGCTCTCCCAACTGAGCTACGCCGGCTGTGATATCGACTTTGGAGTTGACTAATTACAGCGCGCTGCTAACCCTGGGGCCCTTGCACCCTGACAGATTTCACGCGCAACTCGGTGTGCACAACGTACTGTCAGAGTTTTCATAGTACAGGTAATCCATTCAGCGTAGGGCTACAGGCTTATTGTCTCGCCTAACGTTGGTATAGCACAATATGACCCGTCCCTAGCTTCAGTTCAAGTTACTCAGATCGACGTTAACCACGGTGCAGTATGGGTCGGCGTTCTCTGTTCAGCCTAATATCGTCGTACCGCGCACTCACTCTGTCCGGTAATGGTATGAGGGCACACGATGGATAGGGAAACCCTCCCCCTGCGTCCAGCGCCATCCACCAGCTCTCTAGCATACCCCGCAGAACTTTGCCAAAAACAACAACAAGCCCGCCCTAGCCCATCTTATCATAAATGCTAACCAAAAACAACGATATATGACAACAAATACCCTAAAGCACAAATACCGTTTTACATCTTCACACTCTCTAACTCCACACCAATCCCACTTGGATGCTTGTACCTCGCACTCGGCGTCGGACTCTCCGCCCGAGACGGCGGTTGCGTCTCCGGAGGGGCTGGTGCGGTCCATATCCTAACCATCCCGTCATATGTAGCTGTAGCAAACATGAATTGTCCGGAAATGTTGTGTCCCCATGCGATACATGTCAGGTCTTCCGTGGATTCGTCGACGATGTTGGCCCCTCGGAGAGAATGAAGCAGCAGGCCGCTTTCTCGGTCCCAGATATGGATGTCTCCCTCTGCAATATACGATGTTATGGACGAAGAGCACAAAAATAAAGAAACAACTTACTCTTGCTTGCGCAGATAATGAATTGGTCACCTTTACCACTATAAGTCGGCATTAGTACTCTACTGAGATTGGACAATGCTAAGGTTTACGTACCCAAAGTACGAAGGGCCAGCAAACTCGACGAGGTTAGTTGGAGCACCGGTCTGAGGCGGTGCATTCGGTGGCGGCGGGTTGGTTTGTACAGACGGCATATATGTTCGTAAGAGTGTCAGCCGACCCTCGTCCCTCACCAAGCCAAGACGCCAGAGTTCGGGTGGTGCTTTGTCTTCGTAAGAAACCAGGGCGACTTGGCCATCGGAGCTGATGGTGACGTCGCGTACGTTTTCTAACACGGGGACCTGATTCTCAACGGTCTGGTCGGTCAAATCATACACTAAAGTTCAGACAGTCAACTACGATTAGTGGGGTTAGACGGTGCAGCGTGATTGCAATTCACCTAAGATCCGTTTTTCGGCTCTCGATTTACTCGGAATCAGACCGTCGGTGGACTTCTGAAGTGTGCCGACTAACAAAAGCCTACGCCAACCAACATCGTTAGCTGAGAGACAGTTGTACTCAAGAGCAAACGTACCTCTGCTCGTCTGGAGTAAATGCAACGTCGTGGATCTCCATCCGTTCAAAGTAATGGCTCCCTTTCACGTTACCCTGAGTATCCTGAATAGACGTCATTCGTGAGGTTATCGCAAGGCTGTGAAGCCGACGTTCGACATACGAGGATGAAGACGTGGTCGTGTTCGACGCTGGCGAACGCACGCCCACTAGGCATCCACGCCACAGCCTCCACTTTATGCTCCCGATTGATCGTTTTAGAGCATACACCCTATGCTTCGCGTCAGTTTTATCATCAACATGGTAAAGCGATATCCCTTACCTGAAGGGTCCAGACCTTGACCCTCCGGTGCATCTTGGTCAAGAGCTTCGTACCATCCGGAGACCAAGCAACCTGTCCAATGAAGCCTTCTCCGGGGTGTGCCAACAATTGGTGTAACGCGAAAGGTTCGCCTACTCTCCATATAATTGCCGTTCGATCCCAGCTGCAACTTGCGAGATACTTCCCATCGGGTGAGAACTGCATGTGCCTGACGAGCCCAGAGTGCTCGTTGAGCTGCTGCGTAGCTTGCAACTTCTTGAGAGCGGGTATGAGGAATGTAAGGCGAGACGGACGGACGGCTGCGAATCGCTCCGAACCATCACTCATCGCCCTCTCCGGGGCGGACAGCATAGTCGCCTGACGCATCGGACTCCTAGGGCTCGTGGGGTCTGACTTGGAGCTAGGCCGAGTCATCACTCGGGACTGGATCACCTTCTTGCCAATGCGCTGCCATGACTTCTTTGCGGCGGTTACCGGTCCAGGCGTCTCGGGAACTGGCCTCGACGACTGAGCGATAATTGGCATTTTTTCTTCCGTAGGTGACGTAACCATCTCTTGGTCTTCTATGATAGCGGGCTGGAGCGGAGAGAGGCGGGCATGGGACTTGTAGCTGACATCAGAAGGCCTCCGAGAATGTTCCGATCGGGACGAGTTGAGAGGTAGGACGGGTTCACCGTTTGAACGGAACGCATATCCTTCCTCGGCGAAACTTCCGGATGACGACGAACCCCTTCGCACGCTGGGTGCGACGCTGCCCAACATAAACGTCGAGGCTTTGTACAGCCCGGTCGTCACCCGGTTTACCTGCGTACCACCCCACGTCGCAGCGCGCTTCACGTGCTTGGGAGGTACTTCCGCTACCCAAATGAGGCCAGTCGACCGCAAAAATTGGTTCTTCATATCGTTTGCGATATCACCCAACCAACGACTACCCTTGGTTTTGGAAAATGCCCAACGCTCGCAGGCGAACCAGATGGCCACCGCTAGTAGAGCCATGGAGGTGAAGGATGTAAATATCGTTGCAGAGGTTGTGACGAGGCGACCTTGGCCGGAAGAGTAGGTCCAGGTCACAAGTCCGGCCGAAAAGGCCATGACAGACACGACGAGGAAGATGAGGGGTGTGCGGGTAAGCCAGATTGAAACCCACCCTGTGTACATCGCATTTAATGCAAGAACGGTATCGACAGGAATGGAGGGACTCACAGGGGACGGCACTTCGAGGCGATCGACTATAATTGGAGATTCGAGCTAATCAGAACACGTCTGACAGATGGTCAAAAGCGTGGACATACTACATGGCCGCCCTCCCTGAAGGAAAGAAAATCAGCTGAGGCACGAATGACATGACGGAATGCTTACAGTGGTATGCAAGCTGAGAGTTAATAGAAGAAGCAATACTGAACACAAGAGAGGTTATCCATAACATATTAACAAAGTGCTCCTTCGAAGTGCTGCAGAAAACGTGTCAGTTGACAGGTCCGAGCTGTGCCCTGCTGTTGCGCACTCTATTTTATCGAATGAATACTGGGATTCACGTTAGTTTAGGGCGCGAATCCTGCTGCGTTTGGCTTACCTGGAGAGTAGTAGCGGTTACACCGGAGAAGAATGTCGCCTACATCCAGCAATATCAGGGCCGCGTGGGGAGACAGACAACTTCAGTATACGTACTACAGTCGACAGATTCTGAAGGCCAGTCTGTGTATGATTCTGTGCTGTCCGGATGGTGCTAACGCCTGCGGGATATCAGGCGCCGGAGTGTACGTCATCCGACCACGACGCACCATCCTTGACGAAGATACGTAGCGCATCTCGTATGTTCTCCAAGTGTTCATCCATTTCTCTCGTAAGGTCATTAACGTATCGTTTAATAGCGGGGTATTGGAATTGCTCTACGAGACAGTCGTTTAGTCATGCGGTGTGTTTGATGAATGTTGCACCTACGCTTGAATTCCTTCAAGCAGGAAGCCCAGTACTTGAGATCGGTATCAAAACTGAGAACGGATGTGTTCAGGCCTTCGTCTCGAAATTCCGGGATATCGTGCAAAAAGTGGAGGAAGGTCACCAGGTCCTTGGCCAGAAGTTCGAACTGCGCTGGGAACTGCTCCAAATCGGATGTAAGCTCAGTGTAAGGCCTAATCTGTCGCGTCGGTCCCTGCCGACTGAGCCTAGTTTTAGACTTTTTCCTCGAACTGAGGGGTTTTAGCGGTTCTACGAGCTCCCGTTTGACTCTGTCCGGAAAGATGTCTGATGCGTTTTCTCGGAAGAGATGTAGGATCTGTTGAAGGCGCGCGCGGAGTTGGAACGATGAAGAGATGAGACCGACTGAAGATCCGAGAGGTCGGACTGCATTTCCGAAGTTGAGCAGCTCGGTGTCGACCTGTCGAATCCGTCTATATGGATGACGTCAGGAGGAATCGAAACACCTGACGGTGACACATACTTGTTGAAAAGCTCAAAGAGAGCGGCTCCTTCATTCTGGAGGCGGTCATCGACAATGGCTGGCAGGTAGGGACGGCAGAGTGAGTGCCATATAGGGAGTAAGGGATGGAACGAAGAACAACTCCACAGTGAACCGAGACATGTGCGAGAAGAGGCCAAGTACGCGCCAAGATGACAGAAAGGCGAAATTTCTCGAACAATTGAGAATGACCGCACAACCGCATGGGTAGGTTGGTTACCGGCGGTGGATGCCGCGAACGAGCGCAACGGTCTGAGTGGGTGGGTACAAAGAACGCGCTGACAGCGACCTTATCGAAGTGACCATGCGGGTCGTCGCTGTTATGTCGGGCATACCGAACACCACAAACATGAAATCCAAAAAGAAAGTCACGACTTACTGGGGTGTTTCTTTAGTCTTTCGTGGACAACATGATGGGCTGAATGGTGTGAGCCGAGTAAGGGAAATGTTTAACGCGCGCAGCGGATGTTGGTAAGCTTGCCTGGGGCATCTGGGCCATTTCGATGGCTATCAATGTCGAAATCGTCGTCCTTGAGTGCTATGAGCTCGTCGAGGAGCGCGGCTAGCGTTTGTTTTCGTCTGGTAGATCGTCGGCCTAAATCGAAATCAGGGGTTACCACTCAAATTCCAACAAGCATAAGTGACCCAACACAGCACCCACGTCGTAGTTCCTCTCTAGGATCTTCTGATACAGGTTCTGTGTAAAAGATGGTATCTCCTGAAGAAGGGAAGACTGGAGCTGGCGAGGACAGGAAGGCGTTGCCTGGCCATGTTGTAACCGACTAAGAACGTCGAGTACATACAGTTGACGACGAATCCAACTTACGATTTGGTTGT